GGAATGCCATTTCCAAGAGCCCCAGCCCCACTGCTTGCCCTCAGCCTGCCCCAGGAGGGCTGTGCCCTGCAGCAGAGCCCAGGTGAGCACTCACCATCCAGCAGCTTCCCGTGGTACACGGCCAGGCCGGCCACGCGGCCGATGAAGGTGAAGTATGACAGGTGGTCCTCGTTACAGAGACCTGAATTAGGATTAATCTGAAGTGTGTAGTTGTCCCTTTTTGGGGGAAAGAAAAAAACCAGCTAAATAACCAAGTCTTTCAATAAGCAGATACTCAGATATGTTAATAAATAACTTGTGCCTAGGGCCATCTCCCTTCACCAGCATCACGGGGCCTTCCCCAAGGGCTCCTGGTGCAGCCTCTGCTCATGTCCTTCACTGCCTGGAAGGGTGAGCCTGGGACTGACACACACCAGCAAAACTCCTGCTGTACCCAGGGGCTCCAGCAGCTGAGCACACTGTGCATTTACACACAGCACATCAAACCAAACCCACTGGGAGCAGGACACTACCTCTCTCACCCTGACGATTGCTCCCGGATCACCAAACTGGACAAACCCCAGCTCAGAGCTCTGTAAGGCCCCTCCTGGGCAAGTGCTGCAGTGTCTGCTGCCTCCTGAGCTCACTCTACAGCAGCACTGGAACTCTGGGCAGCAGAGTAAAGAGGCTTTTGTGTGACATCCCTCCTTTCACCAGTGCTGGCCTCAAAAACTGCAGTTTTGCTGCACTGGATATTGTCTGCGTAACAAAAACGGTTTTGGGCTCTCAAGGATGATTCCAAGGCTCTCTGAAGGGCAGTGAGGGAACAAGGCAATGGGACTGGCCAGAGCAAGCACTGACACCCAGGAAGGAGGAACTAACTCTGCCCAGGGGAACTTTGCCATTATGCAAAAGGTAAAATACATCCCACGTGAACAGAAATATGTAATGGACACTTACGTTGCTGAGTATTCAAAGAGACCATAGTAAGGGTTAAACATCTCCTTGGACAAGAGGAAAAACCACTCTCTGGCCACACCTCCATAGTCAAGTCCTTTTTCTGACTCAAATTCAATCCAGAGCCTGGCTTTTAGCACATCAGGCCTTTTCACAGACATGATTCTTCTGTAGGACTCCTCAAAAATGTTGTTTCTGTGTAGTTTCATCTCAAATCTGTTGGGTATATCAGCCTGTGTCAAGGAAGATTAGATTATATTGGTTAGTCTCAAGAAATAAGTCTTTGGGCAAATTCCTGACCAGTGGTGACAAGTGACTGATCAGACACCTGGTGTTCCAGCTCCCCTTGTGTTTGTCTCCCAGTGCTCTCTCAGTCCACAGGTTGAGAGCATGGGGGGAACTGGGCAAGTTCCAGTGCAGTGCTGCAGAGATTTCTATGACAAATATTTGATGAAAACAACAAGAAAAGTAACAAACAAAAAGAGAGAAAATTACTGACATCCCTACGTTCATTTTCAAGGGTATTTGTATGCATCTAGGAAAATGTGAGTCTTAAAGACTTCAAAATTGAGAAATGAACCAATTTCCCCCATGTTCCTGGTTCCTGTGACCCCTCCAGGAGCAGCACACTGGGGCAGGCTGGGGAGGAGTGCTGTGCAGCACCCTGTGAGTGCCCTCCCCACGCTTATACTCACAGGTTTCTTTAGCTTCTTCCGGAAATAGTCGTATTTCTGCTTGAACTCCCGGGAATAGGGCACTGCCTTGGGAGAGGACAGACACGTTACTCCAGCTGCCCAGCAGCTGCCAGCCCAACAGCATCCAGCCAGGGAGGAGGGCACAGCTCTGCTCCCACCTATGTGTGCCCAGCCAGGGAGGAGGGCACAGCTCTGCTCCCATCCCACAGCATCCAGCCAGGGAGGAGGGCACAGCTCTGCACCCACCTGTGTGTGCCAGGGCTCACCCACCCCTACCCTGCACAGTAAACCTCCCACACAGTGACCCCTTCCACTCTGAGGACAACAGGACTTTACTACAGGCTTTAAATCATCTTCCAACGTGTTTCCATTATTTAAATGCAGCGTTAAGTGCAATTTAAGTCATTCTTTGTTTCTGTCAGGGCACCAGAAATACTCCTGAGAGCATCCAGAGGAATCCTTAGTGCTCCTGTGGCTGTGACACGGATTAGCTCCTGCTTTCCCTTACCAACCAAACACAGACAACTGTCAGTCACTCCAGGGGCCCATGACTGCCTGATTTCCTTGACATTATTTAAATGCAGCGTTAAGTGCAATTTAAGTCATTCTTTGTTTCTGTCAGGGCACCAGAAATACTCCTGAGAGCATCCAGAGGAATCCTTAGTGCTCCTGTGGCTGTGACACGGATTAGCTCCTGCTTTCCCTTACCAACCAAACACAGACAACTGTCAGTCACTCCAGGGGCCCATGACTGCCTGATTTCCTTGAAACAAACTAGGTAGTGTCTTTTGCTCAGCAGTTCTGGGAAGAGGCCCATTAGGAATTTGTACAGCACTGAGCCTCATGCTGCAAGTGCCTGATGAAGGGTATATCCCTCCAAAAGCAATTATGGTCAAACAAGTGATTATTATTGATTTTAGTAATAAACAACTGGAATGACACTGTGCAGCAGCTCATCTGCAGAAACCCTTGAAGGTCCTGAGGATTTAGCCAGAATAAAAAGGCATTCTTGGCACCTGGAAACATCTTGGGACTGGAAGTCTGACCACTCACAATACCATAAAATGACATAAACCAGCATGAATCAGCACAAAACCAGCATAAAAAGGTCAAAGCATCACTCTTGGATGTTTTGAAATGCTGATATTTAAGTAAAACGCTGTGTTTATTTTTTCTACTGCTGATATTCTGAAACCTCTGTACCTGCACAAAATTTTATGTCTCTCACACTGACAGACCCAGGTCTTTTCTGCTTTTACACTCTGAACCACATAGCCCCAACTCTCCTCTCTCCAGTGGGAACAACTTTTTACTGCCCAGAAATCCCCAAATGCACAGAACAGTGACTCCGCACAGGAAAATCCTACTGTCAGTAATGACCCAGATAATGGCAAATGGGAACATTCATAGAATCACAGAACCATCAGGGCTGGAGGAGACCTCTAAGATCATGGAGTCCAACCATTAACCTGTCACTCCTGTAACCCCTAAACCATATCCTCAAGCAGCAGATCCAGATGCCTCTTAAACACTTCCAGGGATGGTGACTCCACCACCTCCCTGGGCAATATCCCAGTGCCTCAACACCCTAACAAGGAAAACATTTTTTCTAACATCTAATCTGGCTCTCCCGTCTCAGCTTACGGCCATAAATTTTGGCCATATTTATGCCATATTTTGGCCATTCCTCCATAGGCATCCCTAAACCCTTACAATCTGGGACGCAGCACAGAACTTGCTCTGGAATTCCCAGCCCCTCCTGACCTCAGACCTGGAGCAGACAGGTGCCCTTCATGGAGCAGAGCTCCTGCTGCCCAGCCTGCCCATCCCTGAGCCAGGGCCTCTCTGGGCACTGCTCTGCCTGTCCCACTGTGCCCCAGCCCCAGAGCAGTACTTACTGGGCCCGTGATGGCTGGGTTCTGCAGCCTGGGGTCTTCCCACTGCGTGATTTTATTGTCTGCAAAGAGCAAAAGAGATGACATCAGGACTTCTCTGGGCCACCCTGGGAATTCCTGTTGGGCTCTTCTCCCTACCACTGCCACAGCTTAGAATGTCATGGCTAGCAAAGGCTGTGTTCACCCTCCTACACCAGCCCCACACACTGTTTAGTCAGAAACACTCACTCAGGAAGGCAGAACTACAGCAGAACCCAGGGAATGTGCACTGCTCTGATGGCCATGTCTGCAGGAGTGAACATGTTCATCTCCCATGGTCTGGGATGAGATCCACAGCCTGCCTGAGGGAGCCCAAACCCTCTGTGCACTGGCACACTACCTCACTCTTTGGAAAGTTCACATAAAGACAGTCGCAGTGTCATGCTGGAAAATTTGGAGGGAATAACATTTCTCCTGGACTCTGATTTAATGAGAAGGTTAGAGGACCATTAAGGCAGGTAGAATGGTCCAGTTACGGCACGAGAGATCATTCGGCCGTGACAAAGGAGATGGTGGTGGTGGCACAACACAGCCTAATTCTCTCCATCTACAGCTCTGAAGAGCACAGGGAGGGTGACAGGAAAGTTTCTACAGGACCATGGTGGAACTCTCCCTTCCCTGCCTCCAGACAGCTGCTCCTCCCAAGATTCTGAACACAACAGAATCACAACAAAATGATGGTGTTGCAACAGTAAGACAATGCTCCCAAACCTGCAGTGGCCACCCATGTCCTGCACTGACAGGGCAAGAACACTCCCTCTGTTAGCTGCAGACACTGCTCAGGGTTATGAACTGGATATTAGGACTCAAGACTCTATTCTCCAAGCTGCTAGAGCTGGAAAAGCCCAGAAGGTTTGAGCATCCCAGGCTGGTTTAAGAGGAACTGGGACCTGAAAGGTGACACTCAGCAAAGGTCTGGGACCTGAAAGGTGACACTCAGCAACGGTTAACTGGAGAAAATGCTGAAGGATTGCAAGCACAATTCAAGGAATTTGATCTATTAGTCAATTTAATATTAAAATACTATTTTAATTCTCCTTACACATTAAGGCTATTTATCACTTGTGGCAGTGCTGGATGAGGGCTGTCAGCCTGGGCTTTGGAGACCCCAGAGGTGCAGAGTATTCCAGGGTAGAAGGGCCTGGCATGAAGCACAGTACCTAGAATTGTAGCTCAGGATTCTCTGTCTTATCCCAAGAGGACATGAATAACAAACTCATTCTTTTCACAGCACAGTTCTGAAAATCTACCATCTCCCTCGAGCCTCCCCACCAGCACAATACTGTCTTTGCTCACAAATCAGGCTCCCAGGCCTTTGAGGATTCCCTCTTCTCCTCTGTCTCCTCTGGTCCCTTTCGAAGGGGTCCACTATTTCCCTGAAGTTTGGGACCCCCTGCCAGATAGAGAACTATCACAGCCAGATATTCCCAGTGCTGATGGCATCAGGAGAGTCACTTCAGGCTGGATTTAGTACACTCCAGTTGATGCCTCACAGGATGAGATAACTCATGACCGTGTGATGGTATTTTTCACGCCCTTTTCGATCAAAATTCGGCTAATTATTCCCATTCTGAGCAACACTTAGCACTTCCCCTCTCACAGCCTCTTGCTGCACACTGCAGCAGCCATTTACCAGCCTCACTCTGTTCCCATCCCATCCCAGTGAGCTCCTCCCTGGCACTGCTGCTCCCTCTGCACTGAGAGCATCCCCTAACTCCCTGTGCAAACAGTGCTGGTGGCTGTGAGCAGACTTCGAGGGGAACCCATTTAGTGTGTCCATCCCTCTGTCCACGAGCTTCTGCAGGCTCTCCCAGGGATGAGAAAAACACTTCAAAACAGGAAAAGATGCTGGAGAACTGTGCAGCAGGTACAAACTGTTGCTGGAAACAAGCAGCACTACAAAAAACTTCCCTAAACTTGTGTGCAAACTGCTATATAAAAAGCTAAAGCCACTCAGCTCAAGAGAGACTAGAGACTTCAGATGCAAATAAATTTTGCTTTGTAACAGTTATAAATTCTTTGGGGAATTCTAATTAATGTATGCCTTTAACATTCCATTTTGGGCACTAACATGTGCACAAGTACAGTTAGGAGACTGAAAAATTGCAACTTTTTAAGAGAGGTTGGGAGGAGGCTCAGCAGTTACAGAGGTGTTCTAGATGGGACAGTTCTGTCCTGGCTCCTCAGTGGCAGCAGTTTAGAATCACTGGCCACAGCTAGCTACATTTCCAGATCTCTGCTGGGAAAACAGGTACAGAAGGGATAATAACTCTGTACTGAAGTTTGGAAGAGGTTCATCTGGTGCTTGATGAATGTATTGTTTCTAATGTGCAGTTCAAACTATCTCTACCTTTTCAAAACTGGCATTGCTTTAGAGGCAGTTTTTTAATAATGACATCTCTGTCAACACAGGTGAGCAGGGGAGTCAGTGCAACTGGTCCTGAAGGACAAACCCACTTCTGTCAAACATAGGGAAGAGCTTAAATTGTAGCTCTCTGTGCACCCTCCTCTAAGGGTTATGTGAGTTAGCTATGTCTGTGAAGAAACACATCGGTAGAAATATTTCATTACAAGGCTTAAAGTCTTTAAAAGAAACAAACCAAAAAAAGTAAGAAGACACAGCCCAGGCTTTGTGGGCTGCTTCACTTCCAAACACCAACAAAACTCACACAGCAGTTCTGAGATGCTCTAGGAAGACAAGTCTACAATGAAACATCACTTACACTAGAACTCCACTAACAGAACTGGATAATATTAATGGGCTGGTGCAGTTTCACATGCTCTAAATAGGAAATAAGATCAGAATCAGCACTGCCACAAACCTTCTGAAAGCAGAGGAAAGTACTTCTCAGTGCTAATTGCTCCATTGCCTATCTGTGGAGCTGTGGCTACAGGATCTTTTCTCATCTTATTTTCTATTCCTAGTGTATATTTTAATTTATTAAGTGCAAATAAGCCATGGGATCATCAACAACAACAACAACGAATCCAAAATATCAACAAGAACAAAAGAAACCACAGAGAGGAAATGTTAATGCTTCACAAGTCAGAGAGGGACAAAGCTTGATGAGCCAATTAAAGCAAGCTTCCAGTGAATGTACAGTACCGTAGGAGGGCACTAAGTCTCTCGTATCAATGTCTCCACAAATCAACACCTGGCTTCCTAAATGAAGAGTAAAATCACAAAGCTTTCACTTCAATACTTAGCACCTCCCTTTGTCTATTTGCTCTAGTACCTGAGTGCTTACTTACTATGGTCTATATAAAAGGTTCTTCCATCCAGGTGTATTCTTTCCTCCCAGCCGGGCTGGAAAAGGGAAGCAAAAACAAACAAAAGAGAGAAAATAAGTGAAAACAGTACTAGTCTCACACAGCCTAAGGCAATGCATTGCCCACACCCACTGCAATTGTCTGAAACCCCAAACCAGCACAGATGCATCAGAAATCCAGGCAGGCTCACAGACCTTGTTTATCCAGGTGACTGTATCCCACACAAGCAGTATTTTTTAAAATTTGGAGGTGGAAACCTCTTGCCCCAGGCTTTACACCCATTTCCTGCTGTGAGGAAATGATCATAGAGAATAGACAGGCCATTGTGGCTTAGCCTGAGAGTTTCTGCTCCTAATTCTGAAAGACACGTGGGTTCTTTACTGTAAATGTGTAACCCAGGATCCCAGTCCAGTGGGGCAGGAATGTCCTAACCAGCTCTCAGTGCTTCCCTTTCATCTCCCAAAGGGTTCCAGTGCAGCCAGGAAAATGAAAGGCAGGCTGCAGGGGCAGGCAGTGCTGGTCAGCCTAGGCTTCTGTAAAATGCAGATGAGAAATTATTGCACTGCAACCTTTTGTGAGAAACTTGTTAAATTCTGTAGTTATTCCCAGGTTGTTTAACCAAGGGGAAATCTGCTATTAATTATCTATCCCCACTGACAAGTCAGGCTGTCCTGGTTTCACTGCATGTCTCACCTCCTGCAGTTAACAGAACAAACTGTCATTGGCCCCTCAGTGCCTCTGTCTAAGCACCAGATGTGTCCTCCAAGGTCCACCTGTGCCCAGTGTTCCCCAACAACTGCAGAAGCACAGCTACTCCCACAGCTGTTCCCTAAAGGCAAAGTGCATTCCGGCTGCTGTCACCAGGAGTCTGTCACACTCACACACTACTCTGCCACTAAGGATACAGTGTTTTAAAACAAAGCTCTGTAAATCCACGTTATACTTTGGTTACAAGTATGACAAAACTTCTGACATTAAAATGATAATTTCCTCTGCAAAATATGGAAGTTCCATTGAAAAATCAGAATTTATTCAGATTTCTGAATGCCAGAATAGGCTGGTGCACTGACAGAGCCTGTTTGGGACCACCTGCTCCATTTCTCCTAAGGACAAGTAATTATCTGACAGGACAGGCCCCGGTAAGTGTCTGCAGAGCTCAACCCTTGGGGCAGCACAGGGCTCAGCAGTGAGTTCAGCTCAGAGAGCCTGACTGAACCCCAGCTCACAGCAGGGCTCAGGCACAGCCCACGGCTGCAGGACAGCCCAGAGACCCTGGGGCAGCAGTGTAGGTTAGGACACGTGCAATGGTCACTTACAGGGAGAGGGCCCAAGTCATTGGGGTTCAGAGATGCTTTGGCTCTCAAATGCACAGGAAACTTCAGCCGTGGATCCTCCTGGAACACAAGGATGGAACCGTCAATCCTACAGATCAAGGTAGATCTACAAACTACGTCAGGCACAGAATTATCTGGAAATCCTCCCACATTATTCTCTCTACTGAGAACAAAACAAAGCATGCCTTATTAGGATTCCTCCACTGCAATGATTTTTTTGCAGTGTTGAGAGCGAGTCAGGGTGATGTAAGCCCTGACTCCACCAGGTGTGCTCCAAACCCCGCAGCCCTGTTCCCAGGCTGCCTGTACTACAGCCTTTCGCACACTTCTGGCTCTTGAGAGCACAGAGATGAGACAACTGCCACGCTGAAACGGGGAGCGTGCAGGCAGGAGGACAGAGACAGAAGCGCGTAACGGCTGCCGCCGCCGACGCAGGGCGCGGCGCGGAGCTCCCTTACCCAGGTGGTGGTCTTGGTGTTGTGGTCGATGAAGAAGGGTCGGCCGTTGGGCGCGATGCGCATCTCCCAGCCCGGGGGCAGGAAGCTCTGGGCCACCTTGTGCTGCGGTTTGGGGGAGTTGTAGGGGGAGGGCTGTGGGGACTGGGGGTTGGACAGGGTGTCCTTCACCGCCCGGCGCACCGGCGAGTCCTTCATGCCCTGCGGAGCAGCAAACACAGCACCACTGCTCACCCGGGGCTGCGACACCGTCCGGCTCCGTTCCACAGCAAACGGTCGGTCATTCCCCATGTAGTTAATACCAGAACTAAGGGCTGGGACAGACTCCCTAGAACTTAATTAGCTCTATCTGCTCCTCCTAACGCACTCAGCCTTTTGCTGCGAAGGACACGACGTGCCATCCTTCCCTCTGCAACGACATCTCCAGCAGGTACACCTGATCGTGCCTTGCACTGCCCTGGATGAGTCCACATTTCATTGGACCAGGGGCAAAGAACAGCAGTGCTTGGTGCTTCACGGGGCAATACACCTCACTTTACACGACAGCCCTTCGAGGCAAGGCCACAGCCCTTCAAACTCTACGCGTGAAGAAGAAACTTCCAGCACTTTCTCTCAGCACAGCCACGTGTGGCTGAGTCAAGAGTTCCAACCACAGCGTCAGAAGTCAAACATACACAGGCTGTGACTCTAAGGAGCCACCTCAGCCGCACACAGCGACCATCGCCCCACGGCACTCGGAACCCTTCGGAAGAGACTCCGGCGCCGGGAACGCCGCGCGAAGGCCGAGGCGCCGCGCAAAGGCCAA